TCTCTCTCTCTCTCTCTCTCTCTCTCTCTCTCTCTCTCTCTCTGTGTTGGCCGGTGCGTTGCTCGGCCAATCGATGGAAAACTCTCTCTCTCTCTCTCTCTCTCTCTCTCTCTCTCTCTCTCTCTCTCTCTCTCTCTCTCCGCCCTCACAAAAGGACGCCGTTCCACCTCCGCCCGTTCCCGTCATTTCACATCGCTGACCACTTTCCCACCCTCCCCTCCTTTCCGCTGCCTCCTCGGGACCCACAAGACGACCGGCGTTCCGTAGCATGGCCGATTCCTGTTGTCGGCCTGCGCGAGGATTTCTCCACCGCCGACTGCCCGACATCTCGACAAATCGAGGTCCACGACCGACTACTATTCGGCCCACGCGGCGGCGTTTCTCCGCCCCCCGCCCCGAGTTCCACCAGTTCCCCCTTGGCCGCTGCCCGTAACCGGTCCCGCACGGAGGCCCCCGGTTTCTGTTGGGGCCCACGCAAGGACCGCTGTTTGCTTTAGTAGTATAGGGATGTTGATTGCCTGAACCAGAATCAATGTACGAATCCCACTTCTACTGCATGTACAACATGAGGTCCACCATAGCCATGGCCACCCTTCTCCTTCCTCTTCCTGAAGGCCGAGTTTATGGCGGACTGCTAGGGCCTTGCCCTGATGTGCAAAAGACAACTCAAAGCAGCTATGGCTGCTCTAGCTCAGGCCGCCATGCCCGACTCTCCCTCGAAGCTTCTTGGTGTAGCTCTACCCCAATGGGGCCTTCCAAATGCAGCGCTCACCAAGGAGATGAAGATGGCATCCACCATAGCCAGGTAAGTAACTACGGCCCTCCCCCTTCCTAGTCCTTGTCTCCCTCCTCCTCCAGCCCGTGCTTCACCACCATAGCCGCGGTGGGAGCTGGACTCCATCTTCCCTAGCAGCGCTCCAGGAGGAGCCCCTTGCTCCTGGAGATATAGCGGCCTGCTTGCCTCTTGGGCGGTGACTTCCAGACAGTGTGGCCTCCAAGCAACTGGTACCTCCTCCTGTCTGGAGGGAAACATCATTGCAGACTCTGATATTGCCTGTACAGGCCCTGGACTCAGACTGGTTGGACTGGTCCCCGCGTAGACCTAGCCTACAACTACTGGGCCTCTAAAAATGCCGACTTTTGTCTTCTTCTGCTCGGCCTCCAGTACCCGGCACATCTACCTCTACTTGGTGTGGTACCCGCCTACCTGCTACTTGAGTGTTTTTCCCCGGTTCCAAGTGTCGTGGGCCGCTTTCCCCGCCACTTGAGTGTTTTCCCCTCTGCAACCCTCAATGTCACGGCCACAGGTAGGTACCAGCCCTTTGCGCCTCCAGTACGGATGGGTACCCTTGCGGGTCACACACACACTAAAATCGACAAGCACGCAGAAAGGCAGTCAGACCAGCAAGGCACACACACAAACTTAGAAAACTCAGCAGCAAGACGGAAACTCAGCAAGCCATACATTCCATTGGCAAAACTAAGAAATCAGCAATGTGTCTCAGTCCGTGTTTGGCAGGTCCTTACAACTGCATTCATCAGCATACCGGTCCACTCAACAGGATACAACAAACGGGAGCATGACACAACAAGTTCAGAGCAACAAGTCTGTATAACGAGAAACCAGGCACCCAGCTGGAATAGCAAGCATACTGGAAAGGGGAAGAGAAGGAAAGAACAGGAGGGAAATGCAGAGGAAGAAACAACATTAGTAAGGACAAAGGGAAGGATAGACAAAGGAAAGGGGATAAGACAAATGAGAAGAGAAGAAGAGTTGACGGAAGAGTTGACGGAAACATAACGATGGAAACATAACGATGGAAGCACATCATAGTGCATTGAAAACGGGAAGAGGACAAATGAGAAGAGAAGAAGAGTTGACGGAAACATAACGATGGAAGCACATCATAGTGCATTGAAAACGGGAAGAGGACTTTAAAGGCCGCAACACAGAGGATTCATATGATGGAAAGAAGTGGACAGAAAGAAACAGACGAGGAACGAGAAGACAATAGAAGGGCACAAATTGGCGAAGAAGACTAAGGGAAAGATGCAACAGGTAGCATACAGGTACAACGAGGGAGAGTCAAGATGGACCATGAAAGGATAGAAACAGGAGCATGCATACTACAGTTCTACAAAAGGATGGAAATAGGAAAAGCACAGGCCGCAGGGCAGGGCAGCCAAAAGCTGAGGAAGGAAAGAAAGCAAGAGAAGCGGGGAACCGAAGGGAAACAGAAAAGAAATGGTTAGAAAGGAATGAAGGACTTTGTCCTGTTACTGAACCCAGCACTCTCATCATTATGGGCACTCAACTGATGGGCTCTTGACAGCACACCACCCCAACCTCAATTCATCACACCACAAGGTTACGGGCTGAGGGACTCGTTCTTCCTTCCAGCTGCATTTCAAACTTGTTCACCACTCCCTGTTGTTTTTCCTCCTTTGCACAGTCATTTCCCACATTTTGACACACAACCCACCCAACCCTGCCTCAGTACCGTACTTCAACTCCTCCCCCCGCCTTCCTTCCATCACTTCTTCGCAAGGACATCTACTACGAAACATCACGTTCTTTGCCCCACACCAATCCATCACACACTCCCACTTACCCTCACCTCCGGGCAGTCCCAAACGGTTCCATGTCTTTACCAGTCCCGAGAACCCTCTCTCTCTCTCTCTCTCCTCCCTTCCCCCCCCCCCCCCCCCCCCCCCCCCCCCCCCCCCCCCCCCCCCCCCCCCCCCCCCCCCCCCCCCCCCCCCCCCCCCCCCCCCCCCCCCCCCCCCCCCCCCCCCCCCCCCCCCCCTTTCCTCTCTCCCCTCTTGCCCCCTACTCTCCCTTTTTCTTCCTATTAAACTCAGCGTAAGTTATGATGGTGGTGCATTAGTGGAATTCTATGCAGTATTTCCCAGGCCGAAACACAAAATAAACATAGTGCAGTCTTTAGCTTCCCTGTTGACTGAATGACCAGAACTGCACATTAGTTCTGTGCCCCATCCCATTACAATACCCCTCAATCGGATGGACATGTTTGCTTCGGGCTCCTTTTTCACCAAATAAGACAACGGGTGGGATCATCATCATCATCCTCCCTGTGTGTCCAAGACCATAGCTTGTGCTCAGAGGGACTTGCAGCTTCCTCACAGTAACTATCGAGTGTGCCTCGTGAGAGGATGTTGCAGTGATGATTTCTGCATTTGTCCTGAGCACTCTCAGCCTTCTCTAACTTCCTATCCTCATACATTTGCATTTGATGAGCCAGGTCATGGGTGCCCGTTCTAGTGATCAATTTCGCCTGCCTGGAAAACACATGAATCCCATTAGGTTAACCCCACCTTTTGTCACTACCACTATTTCTTCCCTCTGTGGCTGGCTCCTCATTTCCAGCTCCCACTGTGGCCTCCTGCCCGATCTCCCTCTGTGAGTGTATGCCATCCTCAAAAATGGAAAATCCACAGTGCCCTGCGCCAATAAGCCCCTTGAGAGGTTTTCTGATCTGTACCTTAGGCTTCTGAGATGCCAACACCACACTTGAATTTGATCCCCTGCGGGAAAGAGCATTTGCAGTTACCTCCTCTCCAGTCAGAGCAGTCATCACCTGCAGCACAGTGCAATGCCACATCAACCAAGATCAACTTAGAGAAAGGTGAGACATAAGATGGGATGTAAACCCATGTTTGATCATCTTGTTATGAACTTGGTTGTTTGACACTTGGATTGCCACTCACACACAACAGAACTCATACATGACCATACATGCACAAGTCAGGGGGGAGGAAGAGACAGAGTCCACCTGCACACACATCAGAGATAAGCAGCGAAATAGCAACCATGCACAGATGGGAAGAATACACACACAGTGTTCTCTCTCTCTGATGAACTCCCAACAACCAATCACAATTGACACTGCGAAGATCACAATCGGAAAGTAACCCAGATGATGAGCCAACTCCACACAATTAACCCCAATAATCGTTACAGAGTTTAACCCAGTGTCTCGCCACTCAATTACCACCCACTCCACTCACTACCACACACTCAGAGTCTAGCGCTGCACTGAAACAGC